CCAAAGGCTGTCACCAACTTGGACTCGTCGCTGACCCCAGCCTGCGCTATATTGCCGCTTGGGAAGTAGGGCATGACGATCATGATTTCGGGCCACTCGCGCATCCCGAACACCTGTACAATGTTGGGCTGGGGGACGCGAAGGGGTAGAGCACTTTAGCATCGGAGCTTGAACGACCAAAAAGGCAGGAAAGAGAACGTACGTGGGGGTTGTCCTTCATGATGGTATATTCTCGCCGAATGTCGAGGAGCCATGCAGGGTCGACCTCGCCGCGGCGTCTCTTCTGGCTGTTGGTCGGCGGTGGCGTGACTACTTTGCCGGCGAGCACCTTGCCGTCGCGGGCCCTGATGATTTTGAATACCCGGCCGAAGGCGCCGCTTCCGATTTCGCGGTGTTTGAAGTAAATAAGGCGATCAGAGACAGTCTGGGCTTCGCTGGGCGGCTCGGTCGTGGGCTGGCTGTCCAGGCCGAGCCCCTGAACGCCCGGGACCTCGTTCTCCTTGGACTTTTCGATGAGGGCGCACAGGTTCTCCAGGTACTGTGCGTCTCGCCCCTGGTGATTGGGAAAGTCGATGGCGACGATAAGACCACCCGAGTCGATGGTGGTGGGGCTGAAGATATTCGCAGTGCCGGGTGCATCCGCCAGCAACCATGTCTCACCCACCCGCACCTGGTCCATATTTTGCCCGCCATATCCAACCGCAGTTCCATGCATCGAATGGTCGTGCAGCCAGATGCGCATTTCGTCGTCGACAGCGATGCGGTAGTGGCGGGCGCTGACGCCGCGGGTCCCTCGATGGCCCAGCAGGATATGGGACGTCGCCGTGCTCGTCCCCGCCTGCACCCCGTCTCTGAGACCTTCGAGCTGCATGAGTTTAGAAAAAGTCAGGACCAGGCGGTCAACGGCACCGCCGCTTTCTTTCTCCTCCTCTTCTAGCTGAGAGTCCCGGGCCGGCGTAGGCTCTCGGCTTTCAATAGTGGCCGATTGGGCCACGCCCCCGACCGCGGGCTGGAACCATTTGACATTGTGGGCTAGCTTGAAAGCGCTATTGGCCTTGTTCCTCGTATCATAGGGAATCAGAACGGCGAAGACGTCATGGTCGTACATGGTGGGAGGACAAGGTTTTGGCGAAACACTTAATAATAAGATGCTGGTTTTTGGCACTTTCCAGGAGGAAAACTGAACCCAGCCCGGGCGAAACGGGGGAGGACGCCCATGGCTGGTATATACCACCTAGGTGGCAAACGGAACAGGCCCTTTCCACCACCTAAAACTGCAATGGCCAACAACAGCGGCCTGCAGCAAGCGGCACAGTCGTATTTTGATGGTCATTGGTTGCCGCTTGCAATGCTGCAGTGCGCCAGGGTTTGCCAAGTCTCATAGTTTCAACGCGTTGAGAAAATGGTTGGATGAGGAGCGGCGGGGGGCGTTGAAACCTCGCGTCGGCACGTGATTTGGCGGCAAAATCGCTGCGTTATCGCGATCCCACCACCCTCTCCCAATCTCGCGCCTCTGACAGCGACACACCTAGTCGGCAAACAACGCATTTGCGACGACTCTGCTTCCACGATGGGCACTCCTGTCGAATCTCATCTGGATGAGCTGGCCCTGCAGACGAAAATCGACGACGATGGAGATATGAGGTACTTGGCTTTTTTTACCCTTGTGGAATTGCATTTGACCACCGCTGACGCTGAGGTTCGCCCATCCGGGTTTCACAAAGCCTCGTTACGATTCCGGGTGCCGAACACCTATCGCTGCAGGAAATGAATCAGATTCTGGCTAGAGCACGGCAATTGCAGGCGGCGAATTCGCTTGATATCGATGGCCTTGATGCGGCACTGAGGCAAGCGATTTTCCCCCACGCTTTGCTTTCCTCTCGCGCTGACATCGCGATACTGCTACTCCAGAGACGTGACGCCGCCCTTGGACCCAGAGGAAGAAAACGAGTTAACTCGCCGGCTGGAAGACGAGGCGCGCCAAGAGCTGGAGGCCGACGGCTGTCCCCCGTGCTACCCGCCCGGTAATTACATGTATGAGAAGCCGGATCTGCCCGAGGAATGCCACGAGATTATCGACTACTGGGAGTCATTCCCATGCAGGGGCGAACTGCCGCTTCGCTGTCAACTCGAAGACTGGAACGGATTCCGAGCATTCCAGCGACGGGCACGGGCGCGCCACTTCGACATTTACGAACGCAAAGCCTNCGAACGCCGGCAAAGGCATGG